CAACAACAATCATTTTACCCGAACGCTCAGTGTTCTCACCAGTGCCAGGGTTTTCATGCGACGCGAGACAATACCCCCACTTCGGGGGGGGGCAGTGCAAGCTCTACCAAATATCCACACGACTCTTCGCACCACCCACACCCAGCTTCCCGCCCTATGACGTTGGACACTTCACTTCGTGGCCTGCGGACGACCGTGGCTACTACACTGGCGTGGAGTACACACCCACAGAAGTTGTTCAGCTTTTTTTGAAAAGTCGTGCAGCTGTTTTTCGAGGACCTACGGTGCGATTCGTGTGATTTTATGATGCGCGGTGGTAAAATTCTTAAAGAACCCAATGGTTTTTGGAGATTTCGGCGTGCGCGCGCGAAGAAAAAACGAATGTGTCCCGCATGGTATTATTTGACAGGGATGATGGCCCTGGCAGGTGCGCAACCGTTGTCGCAGAAGTTCGAAAAAGTTGCTCGCAAAAGCCCGTTTGACAGAAATGTTTAAAAAGTGTTGGGTTTCCTACGAATCCGCAAGAGCGCGCGGGATGAGATTTTGACATTTTTTTTTTTTTTTTTTTTTTTTTTTTTTTTTTTTTTTTTTTTTTTTTTTTTTTAAAAACCATTGGTTTTTTGATGTTTTTATGTTGAAATCGTTCCGAACACTAAGCTTTTGGAAGGATTTCGTCTTGCGCGCGCGAATGTCCACTTTACCTTATTTTTTGCAAAGGATTCTTGAAATTTGATTATATTAGAACAAGAAATGTCATTTTATAGTGTTTTTTGCAAGGGAAAGCGGGGGGGAACAAAACAACCGGATCTTGATCACATCGAATTACCTGAGGCTTCCTCACGAAAATGATGAAAATGTAGCTGCGGCCTAGGCGGCGCAGGGGGGCCGTGCACCAGGGGTCCCAACAATAATTATTCTTCAGAATTAATAATGTTCAACAACAACAACAACACCACCAACACCACCAACAACAACAACAACAACAACAGCAACAGCAACAGCAACAACAACAACAACAACAACAACAGCAACAACAACAACAGCAACAACAGCAACAACAACAACAATAATCCGCATCGCGGAATTCCACTTCAGCCACGCACCCAGGGACAGTGAATGACCATTCGGTTCAGCCCCCTCATTCTGATATTTCCTCACAGTTCATTCCCAAATCGGTCTCTCGCGCGGGCTTTCCTCACAATTTATGCAGGAATCGCGCTCTCGCGTGGGACCCCTCGCAGTCTATTCGGACGCCGCGCCCTCGATATTCAGGAGTCGCGCTCGGACGCGCGCTTGAACAACCCGCCTGCTCGACCTGGCCGCCTGGACCCTCCTTCCCGACCCGCCTGGTAGGGCCTACCCGCCCGAGCTGCCCGTCTAGTTCTGCCACGTGTTTTCTGCTCCTAGCCCGTGCTCCATCCTCCTCCCTCCCCCCTATCCTTCCTTCCATCCGTCCTCTATTCCCCTGCCTCGGGGGCTACGCGAAATACACGTTGCAGGACGAAGAGGGCGGGTATCGAAGACGAAGAGGTCGGGTATCGAGGGTTCGGGATATACGTGTTGAGTGGCACGCGAGCACATAAGAGCGAGTCTTACTGTAATTGTTGTTGAACCTTCATTTCTGAAGATTAAGTGTTGTTGATCCTCCCCGCCCAGTGCACATGGTATTTTTTGAGTTGACGTGCCCCTCCTGGCGCTCGCACCCTGTTTTTTTTGTATCAGGGGAAGTCTTGAGGCTCAAACTGTGTTGTTGGCCCCCGGGTCACAACAACAACGGCTCTCGCCTGAGAATTTCTTCACAATTTAGCCAGGACCCCCGCTCCCGCCCGAGACTTCCTCGCATTTTATTCAGGCATCGCGTCTCGCTTGGGACTTCCTTTAATCTATGCAGGAATCGCTCTCTCGGCGCTCTGGACTCGCGCTCTCGTTGAAGACTTGCTTGCAATTTACTCAAGAATAGCGCCCTTGCGTTGGAATTTCCCGAAATTACCTCAAGCGCCGCTCTCCCGACACTCAGGCACCCAGGAGTCCCGCTCACGCTTAGGACTCCTTCGTGGCCCCGTTGCTGCCCTTCGTGGCCCCGTTGCAGCCCTTCGTGGCCGCCTCGCTGCCCTTCGTGGCCCCGTTGCAGCCTTTCGTGGCCCCCTTACTTTGTGTCGTGGCCCGTTGCAGCCCTTCGTGGCCCCCTCGCTTCACTTCGTGGCCCCATTGCAGCCCTTCGTGGCCCCCTCGCTGCCCTTCGTGGCCCCGTTGCACTCCTTCGTGGCCCCCTTGCTGCCCTTCGTGGCCCCGTTGCAGCCCTTCGTGGCCCCCTCGCTGCCCTTCATGGCCCCGTTGCAGCCCCTCGTGGCCCCCTCGCTGCCCTTCGCGGCCCCGTCTTCGTGGCCCCGTTGCAGCCCTGCGTGGCTCCTTCGCTGCCCGTCGTGGCCCCATATATGTATGCCCTTCGTGGCCCCCGCTCGTTCGCTCCCGTCGTGGCCCCAAATGCATGCCTTTCGTGGCCCCGCTGTCGTCCTTCGTGGCCCCCTCGCTGCCTTTCGAGGCCCCGTTGCTGCCCTCAGTGGCCCCGTCCTTGCCCTCCGCGGCCAAATGTGCGTATGCCCTTCGTGGCCCCCGCTCTTTCGCGCCCGTTGTGGCCCCAGTGCATGCCCTTCGTGGCTCCGCTGTCGCCCTTTGTGGCCCCCTCGCTGTCCTACGTGGCCCAGTTGCTACCCTCAGAGGCCCCACTGTTGCCTTCCGTGGCCCCGCATTATCTGCCCTTCGTGGCCCCCGCTCGTTCGCGCCCGTCGTGGCCGCATGTGCATGCCCTTTGTGTCCCCGCTGTCGCCTTTCGTGGCCTATTTCGTGCCCTTCGTGGCCCTGCTGCCGTTCTCTCTCTCGCTCTCGCTTTCGCTCGTCGTCGTCGTCGTCGTCGTCGTCGTCGTCGACGACGTAGTCGTCGTCGTCGTCGTCGTCGTCGTCGTCGTCGTCGTCGTCGTCGTCGTCGTCGTTGTCGTCGTCGTCGTCGTCGTCGTCGTCGTCGTCGTCGTCGTCGATGTCGCGGTCGGTCCCCTGTCCGTCCCTCTTGGGGTTTGGTTGCCGCCGATCAGCGCTGCCGCTGGCCAGGCCGACAGTCCGCGGTCGCCCCGCCGCTTGCCGGGGCCCGGCCTGCAGGGAAGAACGGCATACCCCCCACGATCGAAGACGAAGAGGGCGGGTATCGAGGCTTTGGGAAATACGCGCTAACGGACACTCGAGCAGATAAGAGCGAACAGCCTTACAATGATTGTTGTTGTTGTTGTTGCTGTTGTTGTTGTTGTTGCTGTTGTTGTTGTACTTTAACTACTACACATTTTTGTTGGACACCCTGAATGCGCTCTGGCGCTCTTGCCTGGGCGCCATCTGCATTTCCTTTAAAAATTAGGTTCGCGCTTAGTCGTTTCGGGGTTCCGCCGAAACCGGCCCCTCAACAACAACAACGCTCCGGCTCGATAGTTCCTTTTCACTCGGGGCCAGGGCTCTTGCTCGCCGTCCAGAGCCGCCTTTCCAACAAGATAGGCGCTCCCGCTCGATACTTCCCTGCTCTTTACCTCAGGACCTGCGCTCCGTGCTCCGGGGGCTCTCCCAGAGACTCTGGGGCCTCTCTCAGAGGGCATGCGCCCTCCCCGCCCACCGCATGCCCATTTCGGCACCCCTCAAACGGTTCGTGGCCTCATAAAGAGCTCCACCGAAGGCTCCAGTGGGAGGGTTTGCATGGCACCACCGCGCCCATTCTGGCACACCCCTCACACTGTTCGTGGCCCCATGGGGAGTTCCGCCGAAGGCTCCAGTGGCAGGGTTCGCATGGCACCACCGCGCCCAATTCGGTACACCTCCTCACACGTCTCGTGGTCCCAGAGGAAGCTCCACCGAAGGCTGCAGTGGGAGGGTTCGCATGGCACCACCGCGCCCAATTCGGCACGCCACTCACACGGTTCGTGGCCCCATGAGGACCTCCACCGAAAGCGGTACCCACAATGCGGTATTCGCAGCTGCATATGGCATATGGTTGGGTCTCTCGTCAGGCTAATGCTCAATCTGCGTGCTTCTCGCGGGGCCCGCACCCCGTTTTTTTTCAAGGGTTCTTTGGCCCCGTTTCGGGGCGGTCTTGGGCGCCTCCACGACGGCCCAAGGGGGATTCGAGAGGGCTCCTGGATGGTCCCTTGGGCCATCCGAAAACATGTTCGACAGGCATGTCCTGAACAACGTGCTCCCCCAGAAGTCCAACGTACTGAGAAAATCAAGACGGAGGTTTTTCGCCCTTCTCGGCCTCTAGAGGCCCTCGCCGGGTCCCAGGACCGTCTAAAACCGACTCAGGATGAAAATCGGGCCCTGGAGAAAGGGTCGGGACTCCCCAGGACCCCGTATTGAAGAAGTCACGACATCGGATCTCTGGGCCTGGCTTGTATAAAAGTCATGCGGGGACCCCCAGGAGCGCCAAGGAGCGCGCGCGAGTGCCCAGGAGCGCCTGGGAGCGCCCTGAACTCTGTGCTGTGGGCCGTTTCTGGAATATTCACAAAACTCAACGCAGAGAACTCGAATGGACCTGCTGATTCTCCAACTCGTGCCTCAGGGCACGCAGGCGGATTTGAAAGGAAACGGGACGGTGGAGGAGGAGGAGGAGGAGGAGGAGGAGGAGGAGGAGAAGGAGTAGGAGGAAGAGGGGGAGGAGGAGGATGAGGAGGAGGAGGAGGAGGAGGAGGAGGAGGTCGAAGGGAGCTGCCTCTCCTTGTTCCTTTGCATCTGCCCCGCCCTCTCCCACTCTGTCTGCTTTCTTCAATCGGCGCCTATACACCACCGTCATGCCTGGCCCAGGCCATCCCGGGCCAGGGGTTGGTGTATAGGCTCCCCCGGCCTCGTCCAGGAGGGCGTATACACCATGCCAGGGCCCAGGATGGCCCTGGTCAGTCATGGTGGTGGCGCATCGTTGCCTTCCGCATCTGCTTTTTCCGTCTATCCTTCCGGGGGCTTCGCCCGCCAAGGCGCAGGAGGCCGAGGGGCTGATGCGCCGGATGTCGACCTGGAGAAGTCGGATGTCTGCCGCCGAGAGGGTCCCAGACGTCGACCCGAAGACTGCTTCTGGCGAGGCCAGGGCGCGAGGAGTCGGGGTGAGGAGGGATGGAGGTGGAGGAAAGAGGAATTGGAGGAGGAGGAGGAGGAGAAGGAGGAGGAGGAGGAGGAAGAGGAGGAGAAGGAGAACCGGTACAAACCCAAGGCTCACCAGTGATGATGCAATGAACCCTCCCTCCAAGTTCCCTCTTCATAGGCTCCTGTGAGGATTTATGCACAGTGCGAGAAGACACCCGTTGGAAGATAAACGTTTGAACATCTGTAACCGTGCCACAGTATTGTTCCTGGGACTCGAACGCCGCGACTTAACGGTACTGATGCGACCTGACGGTCCTAAATCGTGCCAGAACATTCTTTCTGGGATGGCAACACCGTAGTCAACGTGGCTGTCGCGCCCAGACATCCACAATAATCTTAAACACTGTTGCAAACTTTCAAGGCAAATGTGCCCGCTCTGCATCCGTGAACTGTTGCAAATCTCAAGTTTCACGATCAAGCGGTGAGGACGTCTCTGGGGAACTGCTTGGCCCGCCCTACCGACCCGTCTCGGGATGCGACAGCGAGGAGTTATTCATGAGGAAGAGGGGTGGAGAAGGATGAGGAGGAGGAGGTGGAGGAGGAGGAGAAGTATTGGGAAGAGAATGAGGAGTAGGAGAAGGAGGAGCAGGAGCAGGAGGAGGCGGAGGACAAGGAGAAGGAGGAGGAGGAGGAGGAGGAGGAGGAGGAGGAGGAGGAGGAGGGGAGGAGGAGGAGTTGGAGGAGGAAGAGCAGGAGGAGGAAGAGTATGAGGAGGATGAGGAGGAGGTGGAGGAGGGAGGAGGAGGAATTTTGCGGAGGAGGAGGAGGAGGCAGAGGAGGAGGAGGAGGAGAGGAGGAGGAGGAGGAAGCAGGCGGAGGCGGCGGAGGAGGTGGAGGAGGAGGAGGAAGAGGTTGAGAGGACGAATCGGAGGGAGGGAGGGAGGATGGAGGAGGAGGGAAGAGGAGGTGAATGATGATGATGATGATGATGATGATGATGATGATGATGATGATGATGATGATGATGATGATGATGATGATGATGATGATGATGATGAGGATGAGGATGAGGATTGAGGATGAGGCGGAGGATGAGGAGGAGGAGGAGGAGGAGGAGGCGGAGGCGGAGGCGGAGGCGGAGGAGGAGGAGGAGGAGGTTCGAGGCGTCGATTTGTTTGGACGCTTTCGTCGGTCCTCGGCGGTTTGCCAGCCTCGGTGTGCTTTCTAGCAGGTGTGCCTCGTCAAGGCGTTTCTGGGCGCTGCCGATTCGTGTTGAACTGCCGTTGTATACCCACGTTCTGACCCGAGCGCCTAATGGTCGATTGGACTGCGTCGCAGTCGATTGCTTTTGGTCGGTTCGGTGTGGTCGATAGTTGTGTCATTGCTGCGTCGCTGCACCCTTCTGGGCTGCTTGCGGCTTGTTTGTTCAGGTCGGTTTCGGTCTTGTTGTCGGTCTGGTCGGTTTTTGGTTTTGCTGTCGCCGTGGACGCCTAGCTGGGAGAAACATGGAACATGAGGAGGAACACGTGGATGAGGTTGAGGACGAGGAGGAGGAGGAGGAGGAGGAGGAGGAGGAGTGGGACCAGTGTCACCCAAGGCGCATCAACGATCTTGCACTGGAACCCTCCCTCCAAGATCCCCCGTCAAAAATACGTTCCTACAGGAATTGTTCACTGCGGGAAGCGCCCCATTGAAAGGCAACCGCCTGGGAATTCCCAATCGTGCCAACACAGTTCCTAGGACTTCAACTTCTCGAGTCAACGTGGCTGTGCCACTTTGATAGTCCTAAACCGTGCCAGAACACCTTTCATGGGATTTCGCTTTGCGAATCAATGTGACTGTTGCGCCCTGAGTCCTAATCGTGCCAAAACACCGTTCCTGGGACTTGCACACCCCGAGTCCTTGAAACTGTTGCAAATATTCAAGATGCATGGAGTTAAGCGATATCCACACTTTGACGTAACAGACCCGCCCTCCAGCTATGAAGATCTTGCAAACTCTGAACACGAATGCGCGCGGCGCTAAGGCGAGATTATCATTCTGAAAACGGCCCGCCCTCCTTCTTTGAAAGGGCTGAAACATGTTAAGACAAATGTGCGCGGTGCTGGGGCGAGGGCCGCATTTTGAAAATCACCCGCCCTCCATCCATGAAGTTGTTGTGCAATTCTATGGCCAATGTGCTCGGTGATAAGGCGAGAGCCACATTCTGAAAACGAACCGCCCTCCATCTTGGAAGCTGCTGGACAATTCTACGACGAATGTGCGCGGCGATAACGCGATGGCAACATTCTGAAAACGACCCGCCCTTCATCGTGCTGTTGCATGCTTTTAAGACGAATGTGCGCGGTGCTACTGCGAGATTGTGAAAACGACCCGCCCTCCATCGTTGAAGCT